CCTGAAAAAAGTTATTAATCATCATTTTAACATGATCACATAGCCACTATCTATTTTAAAAATAAGGACTCATAAAAGTTATATGAATTGCCCAGTGACTTAATGTGGATTCAAACCTGTTTCTCCCTGATTTCAAAATCCATGTAGTTTGCATTTATTTTATGCCTCATCAGGAGAAAACCAAAACGAAAACTTGACCATTGTCTCTCAGAAAGTAAAATCATTTAATCCCTCCCACTACTATTAATATTAATAAAAATAAAATGAAAAGCTCCTGGTTGTCAAAAATATGGTACCAGAATAAATATCAACAATGCTGCATTTTTTGGAAGGCAGTCAAAAATAGATAGCAAGTACGGTTTTCATTAGCTTTCTTTATTAAAATTCTCTACCAAGCAGAGTTACTGCTTTGAGGATCTTCCAGATCACAGTATGTCTCTGTTTCCCAGGTGAGCGGACCTTATGGTCCAATCCAGGGCTGGATTGTGTGAGAAGCCCAGATGCACACGGCAGGGTATGTGGCTGGGGCAGGCCCTCAGCTTTCATTGGTGCGAGTCAGAAGGTGATTGAGAAAGTATATGTGAGGTTTGAGCTTGAACATGTGTTTGATTTGGGTATCCATTGGCCAAGAAATCTGACTTCAGCTGCACTGTTCATAGTGAATGCTGAGCTTCTCTCCAATTCATGCAAGTTATTCAAGCAGTAATTGGAGATTTACTGCTTAAATTTCTCCTCCTAAAAGATATTAATTCGTAAGTTATTTATCAAGTTGGTCAGATTTGTGGCTTTCATAATGAAAATGTGTCTAAAATACCTACATTCTGTGTGTGGATGTGTGTGTGCGCTTACATGTGTGTATGTGTTGCAGATATTTAAACTTAGTATAGAAAGAGAACATTTACAATAATGAATAGCATTGCTAATATTAGAAGAGTGAATATTAAGTGATCAGAAATGCACATCTCAAATTCTTATATTTTTAACAAGCCTCCAGGAACTCATTAGAATTTTTGAATTATACCAAAACCCCATCCCCTTTGTGAATGGAAAGGCTGAATAAGGTTGTGTTTTAGCTCTAGGCCTTTGAATATCTGTTGCACATTTTTTGGTATGTGTATATGTAAGATTTCTATTTTTCGTAGGGTGGAAGCTGCTTATATACATTTGTGTTTTCCAAAGTGAGACATTTTATATATTAAAGTGTTACACCCCATTATTGGAATATATGATTCTCTCTCATATCCACTATCTATTTTAAAAGTAAGGACTCATGGGACTGCAGAGGAAAGCAGTAAGGAAAATCAGAGGTGGCCCTCTTCTCATGTTTTCTCTGCAGCTTCTTCTCTTACTGGAAGAAACAAAGGAGGAAATGAAGGTGTTTTGTTTTGCTTTGCTTTTCCTAGATCACTAGCTGTGGGAAGGATGGCACATATGACTCCAATATTGGTAATAATAAGTTGCTAATATTTTTTGAGCTCTTTCCATATGTGGGAACAACTTCTAAGGTTTCTGCCCATATTGGCTTATTAATTTCACATTATCCCTTTGACAAAGGTAATATTATTGTCCCCAGTTTGCAGATAAAGGAACTAAAGCATGATGAGATTAAGTAACTTCCCCAAAGCAACGTGTAAATGGTAAAGCTTGGGTTTACTTTCAGGCCATTCGGTCTATGGCCTGTGCTCTTAAGGACTATGCTACATGCACTGCCAGTGGTATCTGTGAACAAGATAACAATAATATTACTAACAACAACAAAAGTAATTGGATTTAAATGTGTTTTTCTCTATGTTAGCACTGTGCTAATTGCTTTAACCTTCACAAAAACCTGGAGGTGGAAACTGTTGTAAACCCCATTCTTACAATGTGGAAACTAAACCTTTGAGAAGTTGTGTAACTGCCCCCAGGCCACATAGTGGGTAAGAGGAGGCACTTGGGTTTGAATCAAGTTTGTCTGACTTTTCAAGTTACAGGTAAAGATAGGGAAGATGAAACACAGACAGTCCAGTACCTCCTCATTTCTTGAAACAAGCATGAGCTGTCCATTAGCCCATCACTACCTACCACCACCTCTGTTACAAGTTGAAAAGAGTAAATTACATCAGTTCAGGGGTGTGTGTGTGTGTGTGTGTGTGCTATTACTTAAAATCTATGTTGAATATTCTAATTAATTTAGGAAACAATGTTTAAAAAGAAGCTAAATTATTAGTTTCCCCTCAAAGCTTCCTAAAGGACCTTTATGAGAAATAATTCAAGAGATTCAGAGGATTAAGAGACTACTATATTTAAAGTACCCCTATAATATAATATTGAATATAACTCTGAAGAGAGTTTTTTTTTTTTTTCCTAAAATCTCTGCACCATCATGTGAAGAAAGATTAATGTCCCAAGATGCTCAATGTAAAGAAGAGTTGGTATGAGTGGAGCTTAAGTATCCTTATACATTTCGAAAACTATGCTCTGGGAGAAGAACTTGACTTGGAAGTTAGAGGGAAGCACATTTCACTTCAGTCTTAGGTAGAATTTTCTGTCAACCAGAACTGTACAATCATGGAATGGGCTGTCTCAAAAACTCACCCACTCTGTCACCACAGGCATTTGTGCAAAGGGTGGACAGCAGTCAGAGATGCCTGGGGAGAGATCCCAATAATGGAGGAAAATGAATGGATAACAATTGTAGTCATGAGAAATTTTTATTTTACATGGAATAAATGCTGCTTAAGCCACTTAACAAAGTGAGTCATGGATTTTAATAAATTTTAGTGTATTTTAGAATCTATTATCTACAAAAGATGGCAAAAGGGGAAATATACCTTAAGAAAGGAAAAAAGCTAATCTGGTAAACATACATTTGGAAATACATTAAGGATTGTTCTGTAGGTAAATGGAATCTATAAAGAGATCTAATATTTTGGAAAATGCTGTAGAAGCGTCAAAAAAATCCTAAAAATGTTATAGCTCTAATTTAAGTGAAGTTAAAAGGAAGAAACAGGAAAAGTATGTTTTTTGACAAAAATGATAAATTGCCATAAAGTTCGTAAGACAAATGATTTTTTGAAAAAAAGAAATAGTGGTTCTCGGTCTTTGAGGAATTGCCACACTGTCTTCCACAATGATTGAACTAATTTACCAACAGTGTAAAAGCGTTCCTGTTTCTTCACAGCCTCACCAGCATCTGTTGTTCCTTGACTTTTTGATACTTGTCATTCTGACTGTTGTGAGATGGTATCTCATTGTGGTTTTGATTTGCAGTTTTCCATTGATCAGTGATGTTGAGCTTTTTTCCATATGTTTGTTGGCTTCATAAATGTCTTCTTTTGAGAAGGGTCTGTTCATGTTCTTTGCCGCCTTTTTAATGGGGTTGTTTTTTTCTTATAAATTTGCTTAAGTTCCTTGTAGACTCTGGATATTAGAGCTTTGTCAGGTGGATAGATTGCAAAAATTTTCTCTCATTCTGTAGGTTGCCTGTTTGTTCTGATGATAGTTTCTTTTGCTGTGCAGAAGCTCTTTAGTTAATTAGATCCCATTTGTCAATTTTTGCTTTTGTTGCAATCGCTTTTGACATGTTCATCATGAAATCTTAGCCTGTGCCTGTGTCCTAAATGGTATTGCCTAGATTATCTTCCAGATTTTTTATAGTTTTGGGTTTCACATTTAAGTATTTAATCTACCACAATCCCATTACTTGTATGTATCCCCCAAAATATAAATCATTGTATTTTAAAGATAATGTACACATATGTTCATTGCAGCACTACTCACAATAGCAAAGACATGGAATCAACCCAAATGTACATCAATGATGGACTAGATAAAGAAAATGTGGTGCATACACACCATGGAATACTATGCAGCCATAAAAAGGAATGAGATCATGTCCTTTGCAGTGTCATAGATGGAGCTGGAAACCATTATCTTCAAATTGACATAGGAACAGAAAACCAAACACCATTATGTTCTCATTTATAAGTGGGAGCGAAACAATGAGAACACATGGACACAGGGAGGGGAACAACACATACGGGGGGGCTGTTGCAGGAGGAGAGCATTAGGATAAATAGCTAATGCATGTGGGGCTTAACTAGGTGATAGACTGACAGTGCAGAAAAGCACCATAGCACACATTTACCTGTGTAACAAACCTGCACATCCTGCACATGTATACTGGAACTTAAAGTAAAATAAAATATTTAAGAAAGAAAAATCAAAGCACAACAAAATTAATAAAAGAGGCCAATCATTAAGCAAGCAAGATGTTAGTATTAAGATTACAAAACACTGAAGCAAATGTCTACAAAGGCTCACCACTGGGCTCACCGAAGGCTTATGTGGTTTTTCCCCTGGATGCTTAAATATCATCTTTCTGCACTAGATGCACTATATCCATATATTAGAGCCTGAAAATATATGTACAGTTGATGTCCAGATACCTATGAATTTTAATGTTGTAATAATAAACTCTGAAAAATTACATTGCAGCACTTTTTTTAAATGTTGTTTGCAGAAAACACTTTTCAGAGGGAGGCTTTTGAGTTCTCTGTACTACCTGGTCACTGTGTCGTTTCCTTTCTGTTTTCTTAGGTTTTCATGGGTCAGTTCCTTTTATATCCAAAAGATATAAAGAAGACAGTGTGCAAGTGGTACAATACTATATGGAGGGTGCCATGATTTTTTTTTTTTTTTTTTTCCGAGACAGAATCTCGCTCTGTCGCCCAGGCTGGAGTGCAGTGGCACGATCTCGGCTCACTGCAAGCTCCGGACCCGGGTTTACGCCATTCTGCCTCAGCCTCCCGTGTAGCTGGGACTACAGGTGCCCGCCACCATGCCCGGCTAATTTTTTTTTTTTTTTTGTAGTTTTAGTAGAGACGGGGTTTCACCGTGTTAGCCAGGATGGTCTCGATCTCCTGACCTCGTGATCTGCCCGTCTCGGCCTCTCAAAGTGCTGGGATTACAGGCGGGAGCCACCGCGCCCGGCCACCATGATTTTTTTGAAGAAAAGGAACGTGGTCTTCAAAAGAAAGAATTCAGAAGGTCTATACAATGGCCCCCTTGTTAGTATTGAGAATGAGCTCAAATTTCATCGTGATTCTTTGGTTTAGTATCATTTACACAGAAAATAAAAAGGGAAGATAATCAGTGGGGACTGGGCTTTTCTGTAGCATGGGAGAGAATTAGAGTTGGTTCAAAGGCAGGCTTTGGAATAGAGAAATCTGATATGCCCTGCTTGCTATTTTTTAGGATACTGAAAGCTCGTATGACTATGTCAGAGTTTCAAGCTGCTAGAATTTGTTCTGCAGATGTGTAGACAACCACATTCATAAGATTTATAGGTAAGCACTTTGAATTTGTGAGGTGCTAATATCTGGGGCTGGGCTTACTCCTCTCTGCATTTTTTTCCTCATTAGACTTCTCTCTAAAACTGGGGAAGGGATCTTCTATGTGAAAATATAATTTCTTCAAAGTAGAGAGGAGGGTCTTGAAAACCCTTCTTTAGATGTTTTGATAGCAAACAGTTCTGGCACAAAGCACCCCAATGATGGGAGAAAAACCGCCTCTCATGCACTGTCATCCTTCTTTGATCTTTACCTCTTTTGCAGTGTAATCTCCAAATCAATTCCCTGAAGGTTTTGTGCTTTTCTCCTCTAATTGCCATTAGAGAGGGCTGTGAATCCTCCTACTTCCTCACTCTGCATAGTTTCTAATGTTCTCTTTGGCCAAAGTTATTCAGTAAAATTAAAGGGGATAGGAGAATCAAAGGCCATGTGTTTTCAGAATGATGCTGTCATTTTTGTGGGGTCCTTACCATTTTGAAATAGTTCAGGGCAGGGGGTTGGCAATTTTGTGCAGTTTTTCAGCATTTTCGTGGAGCAGAGATCTCATCACCTCAACAGAACCACTTAAGGGCATTCGTTTAAAAGCTTAGAAAGGCTGGAGCCTTCCTCACTAAAGGCAGCATCTTGCAACCTGATGAATACCACACTGCGTGAGGAAACCCATGCTGCCCTTGCAGTCTCCCCCCTTCCTCTTTCCCCATTTATTAAACTCATGGTAACTCACAAGAAGCATTCAGTTTTAATTTGTCTTGCTTGACTTCATTACCTCCTACCATATGTATGCATGCTTAATGAAAATTGTCAGTGGGCTTCCAGCTCAGACTCAGCACATGCTACCCAGAAGATGGATCATGGTACATGTATTTAGTATATGCCAGGCACAGTTCTAAGTGCTTTGCCGATATTAGCTCATTTAATCCTCACGTAGGCATGTGGGTTTATTTTAATCTCCATTGTATGGATAAGGACTCCAAGACACAAAGAAAGTAGGTAAATCTCCCAAGACTAGCTTCAAAATTGGAATTTGAACCATGCAGCTTGATTCCAGAATTCATGCTGTTAACTACTACATCAACATCAGACCAAAGTAATAATCTGAAAGAAATGCTGAGCATTTCTTCTTTGAAGTCTTTCACTCTCATGTAAGATTAAATTACCAAAAAACAGAGGCAGTGGTTTTATTCCTAGAGTCCCTTTTGAAAGAAATAGGAGACAAGAGAAAGCTTGTCTTTACAGCCTAGTAGACTGGTTTCAATCCAGACTCCAGTTATACTAGTATGTTAGACTTGTTACTAATTTCTCTAGACGTCATTTGCTTAATCTGTGAGGTAAGGATATGACCATAACACCTACTCCATAAGGTTTCCATGGACATAAACCTATGCAATGCATTGTGCTAGGCGATACACGTGAGCCGTTAGTATTTTAATACTGCCTTCAATCCTTTGTGGAAATGGAATAGTAACAGAAAATGAGTCAGCTGTGTATCAGATCTATTAAAGTGTTATTGTTTGATAGAAGATGATCAGAGACATAAATTTTATTATACAAGGTAGGTCAATGATCTGTCTTCCACAGGTGAACTAGTTTTCTGCAATATCTTTCTTAAATTTGTGACACAAGACTATTGTGAGTGAAATGGTGTTGTAGCGCAGTGTGTCAGGTATTGATTTCATGCTGGGGTGGGCCTGTGTTGTCCCAGTTCTGAATTACAGCAGTGTATCACATCTGCTTGCAGCGCTCCCAGTTCAGCTTCCGACTGCGTAATAGTCATGGAGCTGGGATTTACCAATCTCTTCAAGTTAATTAGAAATGGAAAATCAGCATAGTCATAGAGGAAAAAATAAATAAGATGGCGATGCTCCAAGGATGTGGGGATTCTCCCCGATAGGAGTTGTCAGGTCAACTGCTCCTACTGATGTCTGATGCCTGGGGGGAATGTGGGAGCCGAAGAGGGGTTGTATCAGGAACTCCCTTCTCTTCTCACGCTCCCAACTTACCTTCTCTATGTGAAATTATCCAGTTTCTACCTTCAAATTGAAAAGCTGTCCTTTATTCTCTCTCTCACCACAGGAGTCCTAAAGACTATACATTCCAACTCAGCAACTATTTCATAAAGCCTCCTTAGAAAATGATGGGGGTGGAAACTCCACTTAAGGAAACTCCCTTCTTTGTAGACAGCATCCCAGGTGGCACTTTATGGGTTAAACTTGTGTTGCAGAGAACAGGTATCAAGTGGCTTTCCAGGACATAACCCCCATTTAAAAACTGCCATCTCTAAAAGGTGAGCCAAATACCCATTAGTTTACCCTGCTTTCTATGAAAGGAACAACTCAGTGTGTTTGAGTTTGCTTCTGTCTCAGTGTCTATCATCTATACAATGAATTATCAGGATGAAGACTGTCAATCACGGTTAATAAAAACCTCAGAACACGGCAAAGATCTCTTTTCCTATAGATGTATTTGATGATAGCCCTCACTTTATTATGTCACATAAATCAAAAAGGAAGCATTTATCTCATTAGGAGGCACCCCTTCTCTCCCTGTGTCCTCGCCCCTCCCCCCGTGCCAGTTCGCAGTCCCTCAAAGATGCTTTGTGCAAGAAAGTGCAAGTTTCCCGTTCTGGCTTTATTTTTGTTCCCTTTTGCTCCCCTCCTGACTCCCCCCCAAACCAGGCTAGCAAAGCAATGGCCCCGGTTCCCCCCCAACGCCTGACCTGCGTTTACTGGGAGGAGAGCGGGAGAGGGAGCGCGCATTCCGGAGCAGGCTGCTTTGACTCCGACCACAGGCTGTTTTGTGCAGGCTGTCCCTCTCCTTCAAAACCGTGCATCCCCTCCCCGAAGCAGCAGGCAGTGTGCCTCCATTCAGCCACATTTGGTATGCATGAGCACGGCTGCAGAGAGAGGGGAGGTGGCTTTCTTAAGAAGGTTCAGGGGCTCAGGCAAGGCTACTTGACTAGTCTTCCAAGTTCCAGGAAGCCTCTGCCCTAATGGAATTTGCAGGTGTGGAGATGACCATGGGATGCCAGAGCCGTGGGGGACCGTTTATTTTCTAGGCATTGCTCAGGTTTTCAGTTTCTTGTTTTCCTGGTGGAATTTGGAAGGGGTCATGAATCAGGCTGATGCTCCTCGACCCCTAAACTGGACCATCCGGAAGCTGTGCCACGCAGCCTTTCTTCCATCTGTCAGACTTCTGAAGGTACTGTAACTTGCAGCCTTGAATGGCGCTAATTATGGTTTTCAGGTTTAAATACCCAACTTGGGGACTTGGGCTGGGACGCACCTTTGCGGGAGCCTGAATGCATGCAGTACTGGCTCTGTGGTCCGTGGCTGGAGAGAGGTTCTCAGTACTCCTCCCCTCCCCCCTCGCCCCCCACCCACATCCCGTGGTGTCAGAGACAAGAGGCTGGTGCGAACCACACTTGAGAAGGAGATTTTGATCTCAGAGAATGGGCTACCTGGTGCTCCCCCACCCCTTTTAACCATTCCTAAAACAGAATTAATTAACTTCTTTGGGAGGGTGGGAATAGTAGTGGAAGTGAAATCTCTTACTCCCTTGTGTTTGGCTCCTGGGCTTTTCTTTCTCTCTCCCTGGGGAAGCCCTTCGACCCACTTTCCCTTTAAATGGAACCTGAGAGAACAAAGGATTCTCCTCATTAATTTAAAAGCTTTGTGTAGTTAGGTGGCCAGTCAGGTGAAGACGAACAAAGAAAGAGCCTCCTCAGATAGTGACTTTTTTGGTGCCCTTGTTTTTAGAAAAGGCATAAAAATGTGGGTCTCCGGAGTGGAATCAGTAGTGGGAAAGTATTGTTAAGCGTATATTGTATGTCAGCTCTCTCTCTAGCTGTGAGTCACACAAAAGAATGGCACTACACCTGAGCAGGAATTGCCACCGTGTGTCTGCAGCGCTTCTCTTTCCAGAAGCACATGCATTAAAGATACTGAAAAAGTCCATACAATTGTGTACCAATCCACCTTCATGATCTTTCTTGTGGGGGTGGGGGGGAACACAAATTACATTTAAAGGTGCAGGAAACAGGTATTTTTGCCCAGCAAATAGAAGGTGGTAACACTTAATAGAGAAAAATGCATATCTCTGATGTTCTATATCCATTTGAAGTTAAAAAAGGCAAAGTTCTTAACTCACTTTTCCTGAGTATATATGCCCTTTTGATTTAATGACCACTGAGCATTGAGTCCAGAGGGCTACAATGGAGAATTAATGAATTAGCCCTGAATACATTACACTTGCAGAATTTTGTTCTGAGGCTGTGTTCTGCTTAGGTTAGGTTTGATGTGGACAGTTAGTTCCATACAGCTAAGTGGTGCCTCACAACAGAGTATTACCCCTTGCCTGAGTTTTCCTTATCTTGTTAAACACCAACTGGTATTAACTTTCAACAAAGGCTGCCCTAAGTGCTGTTCAAACTCCCATCATATGGTTGTCATGGTGATGGCTTGCTTCCCTAGGGACTATTTAGGAGGAAAGGCAGGTTTGGGTATGGTTAGTAGAAGAGACTTTTCCTTGGATATGTGTGTTTTTGCTTTATTGGAACAACATGTGTGATAGGGCAAGAAAAAGAATGAGGCCAGAGAATTAACAAATTATTGTACATTTTCTCCAGAATCACTAGTGAATCAAGAGTCAGGGGCAAAGAATGGGCATATCTAAGTCTCACTGAAAAAAATTCAACTGCAGTAATTCCATGTGCAATGAGAAATATTTTTTCGGTTAAAGTCATGTATCAGCTCTAACCCAAAATAATGCTTTTTAACTCTTCTTGACAGATACGTGACTATCACTCTCAATATATTATTAATTAATATTCTAGTTTTTTAAAATGGAGAACGTTATTCATTTAATAGTCACAAAACCAGCAGAGAAGTACCTACCTGAGGTACTTCTTTTAGGAGAAGCTGTCTTTTTAGGAGAGCTCTGTCATCTTTTTTAACTGAAAGTACTGTCCATACTATCTATCAGGAGACATTGTTAATGCTACAGCAATACTTTCATTGGCATATAGCTCAATCTTACCCCATCCTTTATTAAGTGATGCTTTGTAATAATTTATTGAATAAAATGCATTACTGTGTGTCCTTGTTTTTTCCATATCTAAAAGACAGGATGGAACCTTACTAGAGAACTTTTTTCCCAAATGACATCTGTATTTTTGAAAGATCATAGCTATCCTGTGAGACTTCAGATATTGAGCACATTTCAAACTCTTAAAGAAATAAAGTCATACCAAGTTCTTTCAGCAATACTTAGAAAGAAAGAAAAGCTGCTTTGGTATATGAGCAATTGTATTATCCACTCTCTGGCTGTGAATGCTATGTGTTCTTTTCCTCTGGATTGTGTTTGTCCTGTGTTTGCTTTGCTAGTTCCTGTGTATTCTTGCTCTGGTTTTATCTTTTGAGTAAAATGTAAGTTCATGAGTCATAATTTGCGTATTTTGGTAAATGCTCTTTCTGGTTTAATCTAGAAATGAAATATTTAATAACAGTATTTCTTATGTCCCTTCCTTTCTTTCTCCTCCCTCCCTTCCTCCCTCTTCTCTGTCTTATTCCACCTTCCTCCATACTACCACCACTATGTTAATTTGATGGATGGATTCTCTGGGAATCCAGTAGATTGTTGAAATCTTAAGGTAACAAAGCCAATTCTCCTATTCAACAGGTAATTTTTATTCCTCTTCCAAGCATTGTTCTGATATGACCTGCCCTCTCTCAGTGCCCTACGTGTCAGTAAATGCAGTGTAGGTCCTGATGGCTTGATTAGATTTAGCTAAACTCTGATCAGTCACCATTTCTGACAGACTGGACTCAAGCCAATTTCCCTTTCTATCCTTTTCCTTAAAAATGTGTGTATCTTTGCTAACTTACTTTGGTACCATGTTAATATTTAGAAATGGCTTCATAATCCTATTTCCTTATTTTCCATTTGCTACTAGAAACAGGATACTACAGAATTAGAAGGGGAAGGCCGGTATCTGAAGCATGAATTAAACCCAATGAGCATTGGAATATACTTATTATTCCTCCTGAAAGCATCTCATTTGTTGTTTTGTCCATCTCAGAGCAAATTTTCAACATGCCAACAAACTCACATTTTGAATTTGGGGTTGCATTTGGAAATAAAACTTGGAAATGAATTTCTGGACAGGCACACAATGATGATAGCCAAAAGACAGAGCCTGTTTTCAAATGGGTAAATTTCAAATGGGACCCTTTCCAAATCATTTCTCTTCTGTTGTCGTTTGCTTTATTCTTATGTGTTTCAAGATTCCATCTTACTATTAATCACAAAAAAAGTCAAGTTTATGTCAGTGACAGAATGTTCTTAGCGTATTTCGTATTCATTATCAGGTCTATCTTTGCCATTGTTTTATTTGGAAGATTTTATTTTGGTAACATATTGAATCTGAAGATTATTCTTAGGGCAGAGAGTTTTCTGTGTATTGAAGTCTTGGCGAACTTACTGAAGGGAAGGCTTCTGAAAAATGGGTTGCATTGGGAGAAAGGAAAGCACTGTATTTGTGAGAGATTTTGGAAAGACATTTAAGTCAGTGTGCTAATGAAGCCCAAATGATTAGTATCATTTTTAAGACTTTCAGATTTTTATATTGAGAAATCATAAGACTTTGCTCACTTTAAGCAATGTCAGAAATATAATAAATTATATTCTGGAAAAGTCAACCTAGACACTGGGTCCTAATTCCATTGTGTTCCTAACCAGCTGTGTGACGTTGGGCAAATTACTTAATCTTTCTGTAACTTGATGTCTTCTTTAAAATGAAGGGTTTGGGTCTTGACTGGATTTAGATCCAATGTCCTCATTCCCTATGCTGAAGCCTGCTATGCTCCTTGGGCATCGAAGAATGTTGTCTATTTGGACTGAAAGAATTGAATATTAAAAGGGAAGAAGGAAATGGGTACAGTGAACAACAGTGTTTAAATCATATTAGGTTGGTGCAAAAGTAATCATATTAGGTTGGTGCAAAAGGTTTTTAATGGCAAAAACCACAATTACATTTTCACCCACCTAATAGAAGACCTTGTCTGCTAAGCTACAGCATTAGACCATTATCTTGAAACTAGGGGGTAGGGGGAGGCAATTAAAAGAATTTTTGCAGCGAGGTGACCACCAGATTTAGGTATTATATAGTTGCTCTGGCTGTAGTGTCTAGAATGGGTGAGATGATGCAACTGGAAGCTGAAAGATTAGACTAGAGGCCTGGGGAATTGATGAGAACCTGGCTAAGGCAAAAGTAATGAAGGTAAAATAAACAGGGCCTTGCTAAATGGACTAGTTGTGGTGGAGAGAGGAATCTAGGATAACTTCTGAGTTTCTATCTTTGCTGTAGGGTTGGGTGGTGGTCTCAGCATCTAAGAATTAAGATCCTGAGAAGGAAGTACGGCCATTCTCACTGTGCAGTTCCTCTTTTCATGGGCTAGAAAGGGAATTTCAGTTTTTGACTCTAGTAGGACTGACAAAAGTAAAGAAAATTATTCCTTATCTCACTCATTAATGAGGATGAGCCCCATTGAGTGTCCAATAGCAGAATTCTTTGAAGTAAATAATATTCAGTCAGTAATGTCACTGTATTTTTGTTATATACCCTGCCTTCTGATGAAACTATGCAGAGTTTTACATAGTAAATTCCCTTTTAATTTTTTTTGGAATCTAGTCAGAAGCCCAAACTCTTACTTTTTATCCTTTCTCTTTTTAATACAGAAGTATTACTTAAAGTAGGTGACAGAAGAGAATTAATTGAAGGAGAAATGATCAAGTTAGGCAATCAGATCAGCACAGATTCCACCCAAGTGCTAATGTTTTGCACGTCTATAATTCCATATAATGGTAACCAACGTTCATTCTATTGTCTGTGGAGCAAAGTAAGATCCAAATAACCAAATGCATTTGTTCTGTCTTCTATAGTTGATGTCAGACATTCCAGGAACTGACTTCCCTCTGGTGTTCTCAAACTCTTCAAGGAACAATTACTTTGACATTTGTTTCAATTGTATTTTAAATTTATGACCTTCAAGTTGTCCCATTCACATCTAAAATTCTGAAGCTTTACAAAGGAGGTAGAATAATGTCAATAAGCCAGAAACTTGGCTTAGCCCGGACAGGGTACTCCTGAGCCACATGCTAGGGAGCAACAGTTAAGTTTCCACCACAAGAGAGGAAATAGA